CCCCCCTTTTCCTCTCAGTTAGACTCAATTATACAAACATCACCGGTCTTTCACATACACATACACACACACACACAAACACACACACACATACACACACACACACAAACACACACACGCATGCACAAACATACACACAACACACTCACACACATACACGCACTCACACTCAAACACAAACACAAACACACACATACACACCCACACTCACACACACACACACACACACACACAGACAAACACATACACACACCCTACAGAAGATGAAAATACTCGTATAATTATGCATAAAAACAAAAACAAAACAACAAACAAACAAACAAAACAAACCAGACCAAAACCAACCCATGAGACGAAACAACAACCGCCCCCCCCCCAAAGCTCCCCATTCTCCTCCGCCTCACAATTTAACCCCTCACAACTCGAGTGGGTGGGTGGTTGGCGGGTGCTCTAGTGTGGTTTTCTTCTTCTTTCCCATCAAACATCTATCGTCTTTATCTCCCCTCCTTCTCTTTTGTGTGTTTGTTACTCTCTAGTAACACATCTTCTAATCTTAGGCTCTTATATGACCTTATTGTGTTGCAAGTGCCTGCCGTAAAACACTAAAAAAAACCCGTCACATTTAGTTCCCAACTGTAACCTGAAAATCGTTTTCGTTCCAGAGCTAAAGACACGCGCTGGTGTTGCATGTGCCGTAAAACTCCTATACCCCCCCCCCCCCATACACAAACATTTAGCTTCCCGACTGTAACCTGACAATCGTTTTCGTTCCAGAGCAAAAGACACGCGCTTGTGTTGCAAGTGCCGTAAAAAACTCCAACTCAAACAAACAAACAAAAAAAAAAGAAAAGGAAAATCACCTCTCGTGCGCCCCTCACTGTCGTCCGCGAAGAGTTCAAAGGCCATATCTCTCTGCTCCTCAGCTGGTGGCGCATCCCCGCCCCCACTGTTTGCAGGGGGCGCTTCTCCTTCCGTCTTCGGATCGGACGCGCTTTTGGAGCCGCTGCAACCCATGACGTCACCGAGCTTGATTTGATCTGTGGGGATTGTGAAACGAAGAAATCTCACTCAATTTTTATTCTTAAAAAATAAAAAATAAAAGAACAAAT